TACATAAGAACCATTTATACTTGGCACTAACAAAGAATAAAAAGGAGAAATCAAAATGAAGGAAGGGAGATTGTCGTGTTAACTAGAGGGGAGTTTTCAGTTTCCTTTCCTGGTCCTTTCCTTGGGTCTGTTGGTTGGCCTGGACAGGAGACTAGAGCAGTTCTTTGACTCCAAGAAGACAGGTCATATCTTACAATACAGCCAGTTAGGGTACCATCATACAGAAACATAATATGTCAAACTACAAATCAACTATCACAGATACTTTTATTCTTTGACTTGCACCTGGCTGGATGACCTTGGGCAAATCTTAGTTCTGATAAGAGCTGTTCTTGAAAAAGAGCAGTTTCTGTCAGCTCTCTCAGCCCTACCTACCTCACAGGGTGTCTGTTGTGGGGAGGGGAAGGGAAAGGAGTTTGTAAGCCGCTCTGAGACACCTTTGGGTAGTGAAGGGCGGGGTATAAATCCAATCTCCTCCTCTTCTCCTCCAATATGTATCCACTGGTATGAAAGACAGAATGCTGAAGTTGTGCTGGTACACAGGAAGAGCCTATCACAGCACAGGCTCTGCAGAAGACAGCGCCATTAGAAAAAGCAATAGCACACTTGTGTTGAGAATGGTCCTACACTGGGTGGATTCTTGATGTCTGATCAACTTAACCTGATCAGATATCTGTTTAAAGTCAAAAGCCCCTTCTCTGAAGCAGTGTGGTGTGTATTAATTTCCTCGTGAATCAGTAGCAGTTTTAATGCATCCTGTTGAGCATGGCTGACTCAGTTTTGAGCATCCTGTAAATGCTTCAGAGGAGTTCCTCATTCCTATCAGACTACCTTGTGTAGTATGAAGCATTCCTGTATCATTCTTGCATCTACTTTAAGAGTAGTCCAAATATTGCTCTTCTGCAAGATTGTCAAGGATCACAGATGTCAGTCACCAGCTCTGGCCTTATAGTCCTGGCACTGCATGGAGTCAGGTATAGATAGGTTCAATTCCAGAAGGGGGATTAGTCAACCCTTCTCCATGTTAGGCTAATCCTGTCTAAAGAGCGCAGCTTGCCTAGTTCAAAATAGAAAAAGTTTTTTTAAAATTTCCTAACTATGTACAAAGTAAGCTTTTGTTGGTGCCTTGGCAGTCCAACATCTGCTCCCCCTCTCCAAACCCCTGAAACTCCTTGATATGGGCTAGAAACATGAAAATTTGGGAGAGCATTCCTGGTCTCACACCTTCACCAGGCAGTGGAACTTGTAGGAAGAATTTTTAGTAGGTGGAGCTGAGAGAAAATTGACTTTGCAGAGCATGCAGAACTTAATAGCAACCTTAACTTTTTGGAGACACTTTATACTTCTGCACCCAATATTGTATGTGGATTCCTAAGACAGGGCTGTTCCTCAAGTATTATGGCTTAAAGACTAACTCTTTACTGTGCTGCTAATTGTTACAGGCAAAATGTGTCCTGTAACAGGCTGGTGCCAGTATCTGGCTCTCTTCAGTATTTTCAGCACATCTCCAGGTTTGCCTAAAATTCTGTATACTGGTGATGAGACCATCCCTGCCTAGTATTTGTATGACCAATTAATACATTTTCCCGGTGCCCTATATTGAATGTTGTTAGGTAACTTCTAATTCTCCTGTGCTGAAGGTCAGTGACTGATCCACTAGCAAAACACCAAGACGTTGGCTACAAATAGGGGATGGGTACAAAGCAGGAAAATGCAGTTTGGTTTGTGGCATGCTCGGTCTGCAAAACCATGACCTGTCATGAACTTTTAAGAGCCAAAAGAACCAGTTCAGTTTGTGAGGTTTGAGATATGGTAGAACGCTGCCACCCCCAGTGCTCTAGAGACATAAAGCTCACAGGGAATCTGTGGCTGATTCTCCTGTACCTGCCCTCCAAGTTTGGTGAGGATTGGATTTACAGGATCCGAGTTACAGACCCCAAAAGAAGGTGCACCGAGGAAAGTGCTTTCTGGGAAAATGATAGCTGACAGGCAGTCATTTTGACAGGCACAGGTTCAGGAGTATCAAGAATGTATAGAATTGATCCTGTGCAAGCTAGAGACACCAAACTCGCAAGGGATCTCCGGCTGATTCTCCTCTGCCTTCCATCCAAAGATGGTGAGGATTGGGTTTACAGGGTCTGAGTTACAGCCCCCTAAAAGCTGCCCCCATCCTCCATTTTTTCCAGTGGAGGAAAAAACAGCTGGGGGGGGCATTTTCACATACCCAGATGAACCAGTGCAATGTCCCCAGCACAACCAGAGCCACTGTGGCACTGCAAACCCAACAGGACTAAGGTCAAACCAGAGAATCTCTGCAGTAGAAACTGAAGGCGGGCACTTTTGCAAGCCCAGCAGAACCCAGTGCCAATGTGGCAATGCCAGCTTAATCACAATCCAAGCAAGGAGGGCATTTTTGCAAGCCTAGCAGAACCAGTACAATGTACAGAGTGCCCAGCAGTACCAATGCAATCACAGATGGCCAGTGGAACCTAGTGCCAATGTGGTGATGCCAGTTCCACAGGACTGATCTGAAGCACAGAATCACACTTCGGTGTGGGGGGGGGGAGGTTGCAAACCCAGCTGAAGGGATTTATTTATTAATTTCTTTATTTCTTTATTTATTTTCATTTATACCCCGCCCTCCTCGCACGCGGGCTCAGGGCGGCTTACACAGGCACAAAAGTGCGATAAAAATACAAGAAGTTAAAACAATTAAGGCACAAGTGCAGTAAAAGTCAACAGTTAAAACAGTTTAGGCAAAAATGCACATCTCACAGGATACATAATGACTACAATACTTACTCCCTATTGCATATCCCAATGGGGTCAAAAAAGGGGGGGATGCCATAGGCCACGATATTTTAGCTGGCCAGTCAGCCCGACGTGGCGGAACTGCTCTGCAGTCGCACGGTGGTGGTAGTGGCGGTGGCGGCTCCTACTCAAAAGCCTGACGGAAGAGCTCTGTCTTGCAGGCCCTGCGGAACTGTACCAGG